ATTTTTTTGGGTTTTCATGCAATTGTTGAAGAGCCTTGAGCCTTTAAACAAATGGTTTAGTGGTTTTGTCGTTTTTCTTTTTGCTTCAGAGGCTTTATATAAGCGAACTACATATGTATGTATATACATACTGCTACTTAGGGGGGCGGTTGTATATGAACCGCTGCTTCTCGGCACGGTTTATCAGACCGTCCCATCCCGATGCGGCTTTCATCGAAAATCGCGCCTTTCCCTAGCAGTTTTCGGAAAATAGTGATATTTTTGGAATTTTTCGTAAATGACTGGTATTTTTGGAATTTCCCCCCTTTCTTTTTAATGATATTTCTGGGGAAAAAATCCCACATCACTATATGGCAAGTTGAGATTAATATGAAGGCACCTTTGTTCCAATTATAGTAATTTTTTAGGAGAGCTCTTGAACCATTTGTCTTGAAAGGGCCATGCTCAGAGTGAAAGCTCGAGTTCTAAACTTCCAATAGAGGAACACCCTGGCCCTATTAGCAAAACACACCAACCTCAAGTCATTCTTAAAGCATAACAAAAAAAGAGTCTTTACTGTAATACTTAAACTTATATTCGAAATAAAAGGATCAAATACGATAAAAGGGTTGCATCAAAATGTAGATAATCAACCAACGTACCATCATTTAGCCACAAAACAAGAAGCTTGGAAGTAGAGTTTGTCTCAGCTTCAACAAAGTAGTAGAAGAGCTTCCTCTGCTGGGTTTCATTAACAGTAACATAACCTGAATACTGCTGTAAGCTAACTAGTGGCTGCCCTGGCATGGCAACTTCACAATCTTATCAGCTTCATATGAAGCCTCAATCGTTCTGCAAATCGCGGTGCAAGTTGCAGAAATCATTAACATAACAATCCATAAACGAGATCTCATTTCGGCGGTGAAGAAGCTAGCTATATATGATTGGTCACAAAAGTGATGAAAAAGGGATTTGCAGCTTCTGTTACTTATAAGATGGAACTAGGGTTTAGATGCCTTAAACGAACACGGACAAATCGATTCATCACTACACTCACCTTTTATTCCAACGAGACAATCGTGATTATGATTGGTATTAAGTATTAACAGTTACTTTGAACTCTAGAAAAAACTTAAGTACCCAATACAGTCAAACGTTACATAAACTTCTAAACACACAAAAACAAGAGGGATTTACTTTTCCTTTGTAATCTGCAAAAAGCTTGCGCTGTGGATGGCTCACGGTCGCCATTTGGGCTTTTCTGAAGATGACAAGTGCTTCACTTTGTTCTGACCTTTTGATCCTTCTCCGACGATCGTGCTGTGCCATCTCCCATCATAGTTCAACCGACGACAAATAGTCGGCAATTCGTATGAGCTTAGGATGAGTACAATTGGGCCACAAGGAAAATCCTTAATAAAGTCTAGACTATAATTGGTGGGGTGCGCCAGGCCCATGCAATAGTGCAACGCAAGGGCGACACGCGAGAAGGCCCCTGAAGCAAGCTCCAGTAGTGGGCCTCTCCCCCTATAAAAATTAATTTAATATCGTGTGGGCCATTGGCCCACGTATCAGATATTAAACTGATAAGAACAGATACTACACTTGATCTTAGCCAAAAGGCCGAGAAAGGTATGAGTTGATTTGCAAACAGAGCTTCCTTGTTATTCCAAGCCTGCTGCTGCTTTCACTTTGTTTTAAAGGATGTGGTAGAGAACTGTAATGGACCATCTCAGAAAAGCTCAAACACGGACTTCTGCTAGTCTTTCCATGTGAAGGCCTCTTTCATTTTATCTTGGTTTGATGACAGGAAAAATTTGCAAGTCACTTTTCAAAGCAGAAGGTAACTAAACTGGAGAAGAAGTATAAGGAGCCATAAACTGGAGAAGCGCATAATTTTCACCATGGAATTGGAGACCATGTATATATTATGAATTTTGAGTAGCAAATTTTGTCCTTGCAGCTGAATCATGTACAAGTGTGGTTTGCATGATATAATTACAGGTTTGTGGATGTTGAGAACTAAAGTGGCACTAGACACCTTCCTCGAGTTCTTGAATGCATGGCGCTCCGAGTTCTTGAGATGAAGTTGGATGTCCTCACTGGATTTGTTCATCTTCGGATATGCATCCACCTCTGCAAAGTCTTTCACGCTTGCTGCAGAAACCTGTTTCACCTTGGAGACAATGAGCAGCTTCTAGGGTAGGAGATTTATTGAGAAATGAACATAAACGAGCACTCCAAAGCCTCAACAACAGTTTCGGCTTGGAGACAATGACCACCAGAGCCTCAACAAACAGCAGATTCAACTTCCTGTCAACATGGTGATCGTCTAAACGTTGTCTTTGATGAAGTGGTTTTCTTGCTGTTCATACACTTCAAGACCCTCATGAATTGCTTTCATCAGAGTCTTCCTTGGTTCCGAATACCTTCTGGTTTCATAGCAAGCTCAAGATGTCAAACAAGAAACCGAGCATCAGATTGTGTTAGGAAGATTGGTTAAATATAGTTGTATCCATTATTATCAGTTCATGAACTGACGAGGATGACCATATATGAACTCCCTTTTGTACAGGTTTGGACGGCAATGAAACAGTAGTCTTCCATTCCACTCCACTGTGTCGTTAGACTCTGGATCAGCCATCTCCAACTCAAGATTATGCCAAAGGTAATCGATTTCTTGATTCTGATATGACATTAGATCATTGATAATACAAAGATGTGCATAATGGTTGCCTCAAGAATATTGAGCCAATGGTTTCCCACCCACCTGTTTGTCAAAATCAAACCATGCCTTGTAGTGCACGCTAGTGTTCAACCCCATCGCTGTTGCCAAACGATTCAGCATTTTCCTTGTCCCCGAAGAATGGAATAACTGAATCTTGATCCCCGTGTACACTAGTACTCGAATCTCCGATCCCACCAACAAGCCTAAGCCTAGAGCTTTTGCACAAGACACAAGTGGAAGGTGTCCCAGTGGCTTTGTGCCAGTTCCAAGCTTTTCCCGAACACGATTATTTCTATTCAGGCCTTACCACGATCGCATTTACGTGGGCGACATCCAGGAGGTATGGTATTGGTGACATTGAGCTAGTTGCAAATAAGATCGTTTGAGGCATGTTGGTGTTTTTGTACGAATATGTACGAGTTAGTTATCGTGGACATGGATGTGCTATTCGATGCATTCTCATTTCATACGGAGTTGCTGCACCACAATCGCAGTGCTTCGGAATCACTTCCCAGAATCGCTCGAGGGTCACGTAGTTGAGCTAATGAGAACCCTAGTCTAGTACAAACTTGTAACTCAGGAATTGAAAGAAAGGATTGGGATCAACGCGCTCCGACTCGGTTCGGATGCCATTACTAGTGATGTTGGAATTGTCCAAATTTTGCTTTTCATATCCTTGTAATCACAAAATATCAGGATTTGTTGCTGAATAGTCCCTTAGATGATGATTCCCTCGTGATTGCAGCAGTATGTAAAGTGCTTTTCCAGGAAACAAACTCTGCCTAGTGGTCCAACTTCCTGCCTGTTGTTTGGCTTTCATTCTTTTTCCCATGGATTTTAACACGCGATAATCCTCTCCAGCTGATGAAGTGTTCCTCTCCAGCTGATGAAGTGTTCTTTATTCATCACGCCCTCTTTACATACTGGTCAGAATTTCCCATGCAACAAAAATAGTTAATTTTTTCCTTGCCGAGGTATGTCATGATTGCCGATCTCAAAGTAACACCGAAAAACAAACATCGCATTAAAAGAGATAGGGCCAAGTCCAATTTAAGCAAAGACTGGACCGAACCAAAAACATTTAACTTAGAATTGGGTAGGGGCCGCGCGAACGCAGGCCCCCGCTGCCACAAATTATGATGTAGGCTCTCCCACTATGGGGAGACCTTAGCCCAGCACCCCTCCAAAAGTGCAATGGAGGTCACTGGCCTAGACCACAGGCCTTATTGATCGCCCGTAGATCCCGTCCAGGTAAGTATGTTGTGAAGTTGCACCCAGCTTGTTTTTTATACTCCTTTCCCCCTTCTAAACTTCTTATGTTAACCGATGTGGTATTTTCTCTCGCAACTTCCAAACCATCTTCTATCTTATCTACACTTCCCTCCCGTTGCCACCTGTTCTCCCCTCTTCCCCATCTCTTTGTACCTCTCTGCAGTCTCAGTCCTCACGTCACCATTGATACCATGTGATGAAGAGCTTGGCTGCATGTTCTTAAGGTTTTTACAAGGACCGGTATGAGTTGTGATGATTAGGGTAATCTACGATTAGAATGCTAAGAACGTGATGAGGTGTTGGTATGCTTGTAGAAAAATCACAGAGTGCATATTTTTCGATGGTCCTTGATCCTTGGTGAATCATCTAGTGTTCAAACCAAACTGTTCAGAGAGACGATTCACCAGGTTGCTCTCATCGTACTTTATACCGTTGCAGTAACACAAATTGATCATTAGAGAGAGCAAGCTGAGTGCAACAATTGCTATAGCACTCCCACTTGATGAGGTAGCAATCTTGTTCTTGCTGGGTACAAGCACTTTAGCTACAAGTTGGGCATGCATAGCTTGTTGGACACCTTTCTTGTTCAAGTACTTTTTCATTTCATTTTGTATTCTAAGGTCTATTGACTCTTAAGCTCTTTGCATTACATCGCCATTTGACCATATGTCCATATCAACCATGGAGAGTACTTCCAGTTTGTTAGGAACATTTGCAGCTCTCAAAACTCAAAAGTTCATTTAAGGACGACGGGCCTGGAAGCGGGGTTTGTCTTAGCTTCAACAGAGTAACAGAAGAGTTTCCTCTGCTACTTGTGTTGTGTGTGAATAAAAATATCATACTTGTGTGTGTGATGGGTACCGAGACAAAATTTTGGTCAAGGTTGTGTGTAAAACATGATGCTTGTAATATATATCTCTCTCAAACTGTTGCGTGAAATCATGTTGGTTTAGCTCTTCGAGTAACAAATGAAAGTAGTTGACTTTGGTGAATCACGTTGGTTTAGCTCGCTGAGTAACAAATGAAAGTAGTCGAGGTAAATAGGAAGTGCTATTTGGATAGTTTTGGTGACGAAACAAGGCTATAAACTGAGCACCACCACATTGTAACTAGCTTTCATTTAACCATACTCCATATTAGAAGAGTCATAAAAATATTAGGGTAATGACTATTTATTACCCAAACCTTTTTCGGATTCTTTTTTATTAGTCAACCTATCGAAATACTAAGAATTAGCCAAATGTTAGCTTCCAATTAACCATTTTGTTAATAATATTGACTTGGCAACGTGATACTTATTTGGAAGATACACATAAAGGTCAGCATTCCAAAATTTTAGTATTTTGACTAAAAAATAGTTACAAAATTATTAACGATAACGTAAAAATGGCTAATCTTTTGATGCATTACCTCAACAACAGTTTCAGCTTGGAGTCAGACAATGACCACCAGAGCCTCAACAAACAGCAGATTCAGCTTCCAGTCAACATGGTGATCGTCTCAACGTTGTCTTTGATGAAGTGGTTTTCTTGCTGTTCATACACTTCAAGACCCTCATGAATTGCTTTCATCAGAGTCTTCCTTGGTTCCGAATACCTTCTGGTTTCATAGCAAGCTCAAGATGTCAAACAAGAAACCGAGCATCAGATTGCGTTAGGAAGATTGGTTAAATATATTTGTATCCATTATTATCAGTTCATGAACTGACGAGGATGACCATATATGCACTCCCTTTTGTACAGGTTTGGACCTCAATGAAACAGTATTCTTCCATTCCACTCCACTGTGTCGTTAGACTCTGGATCAGCCATCTCCAACTCAAGATTATGCCAAAGGTAATCGATTTCTTGATTCTGATATGACATTAGATCATTGATAATACAAAGATGTGCATAATGGTTGCCTCAAGAATATTGAGCCAATGGTTTCCCAGCAACAAATTAATGCTGCAAATACTGCGAGTGATCTCTTGAGAGGCTCCTCTAATGGTGGCAAATGACAACTGATTGTTCTCCCCATAGACTTGTGTCCATCCACGCACCTGTTTGTCAAAATCAAACCATGCCTTGTAGGGCACGCTAGTGTTCAACCCCATCCCTGTTGCCAAACGATTCATCATTTTCCTTGTCCCTGAAGAATGGAATAACTGAATCTTGATCCCCGCTGTACACTAGTACTCGAATCTCCGATCCCACCAACAAGCCTAAGCCTAGAGCTTTTGCACAAGACACAAGTGGAAGGTGTCCCAGTGGCTTTGTGCCAGTTCCAAGGTAGATTACTGGCTGGAATAGGCTCTACACTCAGACTATATGACTTGGGGAAGAAGAGGTTGCTCAAGAAATGTGAGAACAAGCTTTTCCCGAACACGATTATTTCTATTCAGGCCTACCGTGATTGCATTTACGTGGGCGACATCCAGGAGGTATGGTATTGGTGACATTGAGCTAGTTGCAAATGTTTATATTCTCTGTTTTCCCCCACATCTCATAGCTTGGCTTGGATAACATAATAGTCACTGATTTTTTATTTTCTCTTCTGCTGTGGTAGTCTTTCCACTTCTGCAAGTATAGGCGGGATGAGAATCAGCTCTACTGAAGAAACTTGTGGAAGTCCGAAATAAGATCGTTTGAGGCATGTTTGTGTTTTTGTATGAAAATGTATGAGTTAGTTTATATCGCCGACATGGATGTGCTATCCGATGCATTCTCGTTTCATACGGAGTTGCTGCACCACAATCGCAGTGCTTCGGAATCACTTCCCAGAATTGCTCGAGGGTCACGTAGTTGAGCTAATGAGAACCCTACTAGTCTAGTAGAAACTTGTAACTCATGAATTGAAAGAAAGGATTGGGATCGATGTCGCTCCGCCTCGGTTCAGATGCCATTACTAGTGATGTTGGAATTGTCAAAATTTTGCATTTCATATCCTTGTAATCACAAAATATCAGGATTTGTTGCTGAATAGTCCCTTAGATGATGATTCTGTCGTGATTGCTGCATGTAAAGTGCTTTTTCAGGAAACAAACTCTGCCTGGTGGTCTAACTTCCTGCCTGTTGTTTGGCTTTCGTTATTTTTCCCATAGATTTATCCATGGATTTTAACACTGGATAATCCTCTCCAGCTGATGAAGTGTTCTTTATTCATCACGCCCTCTTTACATACTGGTCAGAACTTCCCATGCAACAAAGATAGTTAATTTTTTCCTTGCCGAGGTATATCATGATTGCCAATCTCAAAGAAAAACAGAGAAACAATCATCTCATTAACAGAGATAGGGCCGAGCCCAATTTAATCAAGACTGGACTGAACCAGAAACTTTTTGACTTAGAATTGGGAAGGGGCTGCGCGAACGCAGGCCCCCACTGCCACAAATTATGACGTAGGCTCTCCCACTATGGGGAGACCTTAGCCCAGCACCCCTCCAACAGTGCAATGGAGGTCACTGGCCTAGACCACAGACCTTATTGATCGTCTGTAGATCCCGTCCAGGTAAGTATGTTGTCTAGTTGCGGCCAGCTCTTATTTTATACTCCCTTTCTCCTTCTCAACTTCCACTTCCAATCGATGTGGTATTTTCTCTCGCAACTTCCAAACCATCTTCTATCTTATCTACACGTCCCTCCCGCTGCCACCTGATTTCCCATCTTCCCCATCTCTTTGTACCTCTCTGCAGTCCTCATGTCACCATTGATACCATCTTATGAAGAGCTTGGTTGCATGTTCTTCAGGTTTTTACAAGGACCGGTATGAGTTGTGATGATTAGGGTAATCTGCGATTAGAATGCTAAGAACGTGATGAGGAGTTGGTATGCTTGTAGAAAAATCACATAGTGCATATTTTTGATAGTCTTTGATCAATGGTGAGTCATCTAGTGTTCAAACCAAATTGTTCAGAGAGACGATTCACCAGGTTGCTCTCGTCTTACTTTATACCGTTGTCGTATCACAAATTGATCATTAGAGAGAGCAAGCTAAGTGCAACTATTACTATAGCACTCCCACTTGATGAGGTAGCAATCTTGTTCTTGCTGGGTACAAGCACTCCATAGACTGATATAGCTACAAGTTGGGCGCGCATAGCTTGTTGGACACCTTTCTTGTTCAGGTACTTGTTCATCTCATTTTGTATTCTAAGGTCTATTGACTCTTAAGCTCTTTGCATTACATACCCAGTGAACCATATCAACCATGGAGAGTACTTGCAGTTTGTTAGGAATATTTGCAGCTCTCAAAACTCAAAAATTCGTTTAAGAACGTTTAGTCAAGATTGTGTGTAAAACATGATGCTTGTAATATATATCTCTCTCAAGCTGTTGCGTGAAATCATGTTGGTTTAGCTTGTCGAGTAACAAATGAAAGTAATCGACTTTGGTGAATCACGTTGGTTTAGCTCGCTGAGTAACGAATGAAAGTAGTCGACTTCGGTGAATAGGAAGTGCTATTTGGATTGTTTTAGCGACGAAACAAGGCTATAAACTGAGCACCACCACATTGTAACTAGCATTCATTTAACCATACTCCATATTAGAAGAGTCATAAAAATATTAGGGTAATGATTATTTATTACCCAAACCTTTTTCGGATTCATTTTTATTAGTCAACCTATCGAAATACTAAAAATTAGCCAAATGTTAGCTTCCAATTAACAATTTTGTTAGTAATATTGACTTGGCAACGTGATACTTATTTGGAAGATACACATAAAGGTCAACATTCCAAAATTTTAGTATTTTAACTAAAAAAATAGTTACAAAATTATTAACGATAACGTAAAAATGGCTAATATTTTGATGTATTACGAAAGATGGCTAATTAATAACATTTTAATAAGTTTAAATGATATATAAAAGAATCTGAAAAGGATTTTGATAAATTTGAATGATATATAAAAATTTTGAATGATATATAAAAGAATTTAAAAAAGATTTTGGATAAAAGATAAACATTATCCTATATATTAACCTTAAAGCTTCAGTTCAATCTAACACTCAAGTTCTTTTAACACATACCTACATCATAAATACATCTCAACGTAAGAACCATAAAATGCCAAAGGGCCATTTTAATTTTTACGTGCATCCCAAACAACAATTAGCAGCAGAATCTATTGGGCCAAACATCTGACTGCCCATGATCAATTTGATTGGACTCAAATTGGGTAGATTGAGTAGAGGTAGCTCAAACGCAGGCCTCTTACACAAATCATGATGTAGACTCTCCTACAATAGGGAGACTTTAGCCCAACACGCCTCTTAAAGTGCAATGGAGGTCATTGGGCCAGAACACAAGCCTTATTGATCACTTGTAGATCCCATCCAGGTAAGTATGTTACAATGACGCATCTAAACATCTCTTTATACCTCTTACCCATTTTTAACTCTCCTTCCTTTTCCATGTGGTATTTTTCACTCTCACTTGGATATGCTAAAACTTTGGATACCACCTACCTGCTTCACTCCAAAGAAAAAAAAGAACAATTGAAATAATTACAGTTTGAAGAAATTAAAGTTTGCTACGGATTATCAAAGGCTACAATGTTGCAGCAAAAATGGAAGCAGAAAACTACGTGCTTTTCACCATCAAACCATGCCCTGCATGAACCAGTTGTATTCAAACCCATCTTTTTGGCCAGACGATTCACCAGTGTCCTCGTCCTAATGAATGGCAGCACCGAGTCTTGATTCCCGCTATAAACTAGTACCTGGATTCGTGAACTCACTAGTGATCCCACCACGCTAATCGTCGGATTCTCCAAATTGTTTCAGTCATAGTTCATCACACTGCAAAACTAAAGAGCTGGTCTAGTTTATAATTTGAGACTAAAAAATATTCAATCTAGTCTATGGGGCTTACTAACTGCAGCTTCTTCAGGTGGGGATGTCTACAAGCTGGGCATGTGTAGCATGCTTAACATCTTTCATGTTCAAGTACTTGTTCTTTCACCTTGTGCACAAATGTCTATGTTCGAATCTCCAACTGCCTTCATTGACTAGACAAATCCAAAACCCAACAACGATGAGCAGTACTACATGTGTCGTTGATTCGGGTACATTTGTGTTGATCATAGTCAAGGGGGAACTTATATCGAATTTATGCTGGTTCTCTGGCTTGACTTGAGGGATGAGAATGGATGGAAAGTTGCTTCCAGAGACTACTTAGATGATGATGACCCATCATCGTCTGCTAAACATACATATGCAGTGATATCATATATTTCGAAGTTCCGGCTAGGTATTTTTGTGCCAAGTTGGGTTGCAACGAAATTTACAAGGCTCTGTAAAGGAGTTTGAAGCAGCTTGTCTCCTGATCTGGGAGGTGTTGCACATTTTGTTGACAAGGTGATAGGTGTGGTCCGATATCAAGTCGTGAGACAAGTAGAACTTTCCTTCTCCGTTGAAATCTCTGTTGAACTCCAACAATGGGTTCCCTATCTCAAAATTACAGCACAACGCAACACGAGAAGAGAATCAATGACTCGTCATACAAACATCAGGATTTGTTGATATGTCAATGTATATTTTGGCAGGTGAACTTACTGCTATGCCTTTTAAGCTGAGATTTGATCTTGACTCTACAATTAGCTGGGCTAGTTGTGGGACATAGTGTCCTATTGGAGAAAAGAGAAATCTGAATTCTAAAGATTTGAATCAGATGCTCTCTTAACAACAGACTCTAGAAATTACATACTAACATAGCTTTCTCGGTGAGATAAAGATCTCTTTTCTTGTATTAAGTAAACTTGATTAGCCATTGTTGTAGGAATGCCAAGTTGTCGTTTGCTGATAATAAGAAGTGAACAGACAACTCAGCTGGATTTTGTACTTAATCTGACAAGTTATTTCAGGTTGACAATTTGAAGATTAGTATACGTTTCAGACCGAACTTGTTATGGTATCGTTTACTAATTCATAGAACGAGGTATTGGCAGAATAAGAGAATCCAACTCCGGCTGGCGATTCCAAGTATAGCATGTTTGCTTCTGCAACAGAAAAAGTTAAACTGCTAGTTTATAGTTCAAAAATGAAGAACTCAAAAGAGATGCACATCATTGGATTTTTTTTTCCAGAAATACCACTAAAAAGAAAAAAATTACAAAAATAGCACTCATTTATGAAAAATTCCAAGCACACCACCATTTTTTGAAAACCGCTTGTGTGGTGCGGGTTTTGATGAAAATCGCATCGGGGCGAAACGGTCTGATAAACCGCGCCAGAATGGAGCGGTTTGTGTGGGTAAAGTTCATTATGATTTTGTAATTTGGGCCAGGCCCATTGTCTTTCGTATATGCAGAAACACCAACAACTAAAAAGGTTGAAAACCCCCCTCTCCCAGTAAACTTCTCATAGCCTCGCATTCTTTCTAGATCTGGCTATCTCAATTATCCCACTGTCGCTAACCGATTGTCCCCGTCTCTGATTTCCTACCGTCGATTTCAGTTCCTCACTTTATTGACCTTGCATGTCTTTCCCCTGCATGTCTATTTCAGCTCGCCATGTCGCCCCCTGTTTCTTAATCGACGGATCTCAAATATATCGTTGGTTAATTCCTATTCTTTTTTCTGTGTTTCCATCGTCCAGATCCAGTTCAGGGAGGTCGGATTTATAAAAGATATGAAAATTAGAAAGGACCTAGGGTAGGTGGAAGACGCTCCCAGAAACCCCGGGGATGCAAGTTCCAGAAATCGTTGATTTTTTTGGGTTTTCATGCAATTGTTGAAGAGCCTTGAGCCTTTAAACAAATGGTTTAGTGGTTTTGTCGTTTTTCTTTTTGCTTTAGAGGCTTTATATAAGCGAACTACATCTGTATGTATATACATACTGCTACTTAGGGGGGCGGTTGTATATGAACCGCTGCTTCTCGGCACGGTTTATCAGACCGTCCCATCCCGATGCGGCTTTCATCGAAAACCGCGCCTTGCCCTAGCAGTTTTCGGAAAATAGTGATATTTTTGGAATTTTTCGTAAATGACTGGTATTTTTGGAATTTTTCCCCTTTCTTTTTAATGATATTTCTGGGAAAAAAATCCCACATCACTATATGGCAAGTTGAGATTAATATGAAGGCACCTTTGTTCCAACTATAGTAATTTTTTAGGAGAGCTCTTGAACCATTTGTCTTGAAAGGGCCATGCTCAGTGAAAGCTCGAGTTCTAAACTTCCAATAGAGGAACACCCTGGCCCTATTAGAAAAACACACCAACCTCAAGTCATTCTTAAAGCATAACAAAAAAAGAGTATTTACTGTAATACTTAAACTTATATTCGAAATAAAAGGATCAAATACGATAAAAGGGTTGCATCAAAATGTAGATAATCAACCAACGTACCATCATTTAGCCACAAAACAAGAAGCTTGGAAGTAGAGTTTGTCTCAGCTTCAACAAAGTAGTAGAAGAGCTTCCTCTGTTGGGTTTCATTAACAGTAACATACCCTGAATACTGCTGTAAGCTAACTAGTGGCTTCCCTGGCATGGCAACTTCACAATCTTATCAGCTTCATATGAAGCCTCAATCGTTCTGCAAATCGCGGTGCAAGTTGCAGAAATCATTAACATAACAATCCATAAACGAGATCTCATTTCGGCGGTGAAGAAGCTAGCTATATATGATTGGTCACAAAAGTGATGAAAAAGGGATTTGCAGCTTCTGTTACTTATAAGATGGAACTAGGGTTTAGATGCCTTAAACGAACACGGACAAATCGATTCATCACTACACTCACCTTTTATTCCAACGAGACAATCGTGATTATGATTGGTATTAAGTATTAACAGTTACTTTGAACTCTAGAAAAAACTTTGAGTACCCAATACAGTCAAACGTTACATAAAGGCAAAATACATCTCGATAGCCATAACTATTCACTTTGTGACAATAATAGCCAAGTTTTAAAAAATACACAGAAATAGCCATTCCGTCTATAACTTTAACGGAAATATAATTGGTGATGACTGGACTAACGGGTTTTTATTGACATGGCAACTTTTCGTCAAACTTAATGCCAGGTGGAAAGCTTCTATTCTAATTACATTTTTTAAGGGATATTCTAATTACATTAAAACAACCAAAATAAATAAAAAAGAGCCCCATTCTCTCTCTTCCGTGCCTTCCTCCTCTACTTCCCCTCATAGTCGTCTTCACCATCACCATGCCCACCACCGCCACTGTATCCACCGCCGACGACCACAACAAACCCCCTCCATCATCCGTACCAAACTCCACTCCTCCACTTCGCGCAAGCCGCTTCCCAAGATGACGGTTCTGCCTCACCGTCCGGGTAAAAAACGTGGAAAAGGCATGACAAATACGAGCAAGATTGGAAAAGCAATTCGCCAGTTAAAATCAAATCGTGCACCGTCAAGAGCTTGTGCTGGGTTATGGCATCATCGAGGGGAAAACACTCAAGCTTCCATGGCGGATGTGCTTATTTTTGAACTAGGGTTCTGGGATTCAAATTAATTGATCAATTAAAAACCCCGAATGTCATATCCGGCTTCTTTGGGATTCCGAGAAACGAGCCAAAAATTTACCCCGATCGAAGATCTGCCTTAGCTCGAGGAGACCGCAAGCGTTTCCAGGGAGGCTTTCCTCCTGAGGTAGTTTAAGGCCGTCAGGTGCGATTTTATGGAGCTCTTTTCGAGGGTTGTTGAGGAATTGCAGGGATGGCGGTCGTCGATTTGTTGCTCGATCATATACTCCAGCACCACTCTGGGTTCCGTGGTCGACAGCGCTGGTAGTGGCCACCGGTCGTAGATTCTGGGTCTCCGCCGCTCCCACCAGCTCCGTCGCCGAACAGAAGTGTGGATTTGGAGACACGATGCTTGAAGGAATCAAGAAAGAAGGAGTTCACTCTATTTAGATCTGAATCGGGAAAACGACGAGAAGTGGTACCAGAATTTGTTGTTCATGGATTTATCTATACTAGAAGGAATCAAGAAATCAAAGAGAAGGATCGTGTGTGTGGTCGGTTGTGCCTCCATCAATGGCGAAGCTTCGGGAAGATGGAAGCGGACAGTGGGAGACAGAGAGATAATAATATAAATAAAAAATATTTTTTTCTAGAATAAATGAATAATATTTTTTTAATATGACATGGCGTCTGGGTGGTATTCTGAGTCTAATTGGATATGACTTGTCGTTCAGATGGCATCCACATCAGCATAAAGAGCACTTAACTAACGGAGCTATTAACGACGTTAAAGTATGTGACGGAAATGGCTAAATTTGTCAAACAAGTTTCAAAAGTATGACTATATCTGTGTATTTTTCAAAAAGTGGCTATTATTATCAAAAAGTGGATAGTTATGGCTATCCAGGTGTATTTTGCCTTACATAAACTTCTAACAAGAGGGATTTACTTTTCCTTTGTTATCTGCAAAAAGCTTGCGCTGTGGATGGCTCACGGTCGCCATTTGGGCTTTTCTGAAGATGACAAGTGCTTCGCTTTGTTCTGACCTTTTGATCCTTCTCCGACAATCGTGTTGTGCCATCTCCCATCATAGTTCAACCGACGACAAATAGTCGGCAATTCGTATGAGCTTAGGATGAGTACAATTGGGCCACAAGACAAATCCTTAATAAAGTCTAGACTATAATCACAAGACAAATCCTTAATAAAGTCTAGACTATAATTGGTGGGGTGCGCCAGGCCCATGCAATAGTGCAACGCAAGGGCGACACGCGAGAAGGCCCCTGAAGCAAGCTCCAGTAGTGGGCCTCTCCCCCTATAAAAATTAATTTAATATCGTGTGGGCCATTGGCCCACATATCAGATATTAAACTGATAAGAACAGATACTACACTTGATCTTAGCCAAAAGGCCGAGAAAGGTATGATTTGAATTGTAAACAGAGCTTCCTTGTTATTCCAAGCCTGCTGCTGCTTTCTTTTTGGTTTAAACGATGTGGTAGAGAAGTGCAATGGATGTTCTCAGAAAAGCTCAAACACGGGACTTGGGAAATCTTGTTCACGACTGAAACTCTTGGGATTGAGCCATGAAGGGAGTACTTATTCTAAGGAACAACACAAACAGCTAACAGCTTTCGGAAGCGAATTAACCCGTGTTAATGGTGCTGTTACCAGAAGAAAAGCCCTCACATTTTCATTGTTTTGCAGGCTTCCATGTGAAGGCCCTTCTATGTTCATAAACCGGAATTGCAGTAATATCCAGCATCATATTATTGTCTCAAGTATCTTTAATCTGAACATGATGTAGAAAGGGAGATGAAAAGAGTTATGCTTCTGTTGTGTTGGTAAAAACCAGAACTTTATTAGAGTCGTTACACCTTCCTCGTTATCATACATGGCACAATGATGGGTAGCTTGGGGGCATTGCTGCTGTTCAATTCTAGGGATGATGTCGACTTCTTCTCACACCTGGAAATGCACTTGAGACAGGACCATCCACCCTTGTGTGGAAGGGACCATATGGCCTACAGATCTTCCTATTTCCATGTTAAGGTAAAAATTGAGTCTTATGGTTGTCATTTGGTTTTACATTGCTGATTCATGCGCAAAAGAAGAGAGGTAAAGCGTTTCTCGGATATATTTGAGAAACCAACTCTGGCATGTGTTTCATGTATATATCATGGTTTGCTTCTGTATGTTGCAAACATACCATACAGTGATCAACTCCATGGAATAAACCAACTGCGAAGGACGTCAAAATTTATAGCATTGTCTGCTCGAGTGGGCCGTGCTCTGTGAAAAAACTCGCTAAGGACCCATTACATCAGCATAGAGGAATTTACTTGGGCCGCGAATGGCCCATCAAAAACTAAAACCAAAGAATAGAGAATTGGGCCTTTGTAATAGTTCGACTAAGAATTTGGTAACGCAGGCCCCCGCTGCCACAAATTATGACGTAGGCTCTCCCACTATGGGGAGACCTTAACCCAGCACCCCTCCAAAAGTGCAATGGAGGTCACTGGCCTAGACCACATGCCTTATTGATCGCCCGTAGATCCCGTCCAGGTAAGTATGTTGTGAAGTAACATATAGCTCCTATTTTATACTCCTTTTCTCCGCCTAAACTTCCTATGTTCTTCGATGTGGTATTTTCCCTCCCACTTCCAAACCGTCGCTATTGACACCATCCGATGAAGAGTTTGGCTGCATGTTCTTCAGGTTTTTACGAGGACCGGTATGAGTTGTGATGATTAGGGTAATGGCGATTAGAAATGCTGAGAATGTGAAGAGGAGTTGGCCTGCTTGTAGAAAAAATCACGGAGTGCATATTTTTCGATAGTCCTTGATCCACGGTGATGGATGATCATCAAGTTGCCAATGGCTTCCTAGCAAGATATGCAGCAAATAAAGTGAGTGATCTACTGGGGGAGGAGAATGGTGTCGTGTGGGAAGCTGCACTAATGGTTGCATATGCAGGTTTGTTATTCTCTCCATAGTCGTGTGTCCATCAATCAATCCGTAAACATCCAGAGGAGAGTGATTTCATAAACGGCTACTGGATTTAGAAAAAGAAGAAGAGAATTAGATCAATCTCTTAAACATATAGAAGAGGGTGATTTCATGAACATGTGCTGGATTTGTAAAAGAAGAAGAAACTTAGATCAATCTTTTACTTAGTTGGATGCGCCAAGAGTCATATATTACCTGCTTGTCATCATCAAACCAGGGCTTGTAAGGCACACTAGTGTTTAAACCAAACTGCTCAGAGAGACGATTCACCAGGTTGCTCTCATCGTACTTTATACCGCTGAGTGCGACAATTGCTGTAGCACTCCACTTGATCAGGTAGCAATCTTGTTCTTGCTGGGTAAGGGCACTCCATATACTTGTATAGCCTACAAACTGGGCATGCATAGCTTGTTGAACAGCTTTCTTGTTCAGGTACTGATTCGTCTCATTTTGTATGCAAAAGGTCTAATGACTCTTAAACCATATCAACCATGGAGTACTTGCAGATTATTAGGAACATTTGCAGCTCTCAAAACTCAAAAGTTCATTTAAGAACGAGGGGCCTGGAAGTGGGGTTTGTCTTAGCTTCAACTGAGTAGCAGAAGAGTTTCCTCTGTTGGGTTTCATCAACAATAACATAACCCGAATACTACTGGGAACTGGTGGTACTATTTACTTGGGGTCGTTTGGAAGTTGGGATTTCAGATGGTGTATTTAAGCAATACATGTAATCAGAAGAATTTGTCGTTTTCTTGTCTCAAACTGAAACATAATACTTGTATTTGAACTGAAGATGGGACCACCAAAATCATTCATTATGAATGATTGTCAATCTCAACTTTTAGCAGAGATCGTGTTTGATGTATTGTTAACTTAATTTTTCTTCCTTATTTCCATTAAAATCATTTAGTCTCCAAACAATGTATTTTTCAAATTCATACATTGAAACAATACATCTAATTATAATACATACATTGATTAAATACATCAATTCAAAGAATCCTAACTTCCAAACATGCCCTTAAACCCACTAAACCCAACCAAGTGACTATTCCTTTTTTAAAATGTGAGGAACATGATTTTAGTTGTAGTTAACTTATGACAGGGGCGGACCCAAGGGTATTTAGGGGTGTCTCGGGAGACCCCTAAATTTTGGAAGATCGATTATCCAATCTTCGGTGGTAATTTACGTATAGACAAAAAAAAATTATAACTAATAGTCCGGGACACCCTAAAATTTGAAAGAACGATTATACTATTCTCGTTTGTAGTTTCCGTATGAGAATATAAGTGGTAGTTTGGGTAATTCAAACCCGAGACACTACTATTACTAATAAATATAATTTTCATTAGGCTACAACTTTTTTGTTGTTATATTCCAAACACTGTGTAATAGCAAAATCATATTCTCTATCTTTAATTATTTTCAAAACCTAACAATTAATCTAATTACAAGCTACCCTTAACTTGTATTAATTTTGTGGTTGTACGACAAGTGTTGAAAGTGTTTTTTCGGCTTTGAGTTACATCATGAACAAATTTAGAAGTCAAATATGCGTAAGTTCGTGAATGTTTGTCTAGTAGGATATACCGAGACAAATTTGTTGAGCAGTGTAGACAAGTGTATTTTATAATTTTTGAAGAATATAAAAATACATCATTGACTCTTTTTAACTTGTACGAGTTGGGTATTTTCTTATTTAAGAATCATATGATTTTTACTAATTATTAATTGTTTAATTTTTATTTTACTTTATATTTTGAAAAAGGACACTCCTATATAAAATTCCTGGGTCCGCCACTGACTTATGATGCTTATGTTAAAAATCCGCAATATGACAACCGCAACAGTGCCGCATGTTGAGGATACCGATTTTGAGTAGAGTAGTGTATATTTGTTTGAGCAACAAGTGGTGTCTCATTCAAACATTAATTGTGTTGCAAGTAAACTACATAATTTTGTTAGAATTATATGGCTAGTTTGGTAAATAGATTTGATGCAATCATTAGGTGAGGGGTACCTTTACCATGTGAAATAGAAATATCATGCTTGTGTTGTGTGTGTGACGGGGTATCGAGACAAAATTTTTGTTGAAATTGTATGGAAGACATGATGCTTGTGAATTGTAATATATATCTCTCTCAAACAAGGCTGTAAACTGAGCAGCTCCACATTGTAACTAGCTTTCATTTAACCAAACTCCAGATTAGAAGAGTCATATAAATATTAACATCAAAGTTTCAGTTCAATATAACACTCGTTTCAAGTTCTTTTAACGCATACCTAAATCATAAATACATCTCAACGCAAGAGCCATAAAATGCCATAGGGCCACTTTAATTTTTATATCCATCCCAAGCAACAATTAGCAGCAGGAACCTATTGAGTCAAACATCTGACGCTCGCAGGCTCCCTCTGCTACAAATTATGATGTAGACTCTCTCACAATGGGGAGATCTTAGCCCAACACCCCTCCTAAGTGCAATGGAGGTCATTGGCCCAGACCACAAGCCTTAATGATCACTTATTAATCTCATCCAGGTAAGTATGCTACTATGCAGCATCTAACCATCTCTCTATACATCTTACCCCTTCTTAACTCCCCTTCCTTTTTCCATGTGGTATTTTTCACTCTCACTTGTATAAGCTGAAACTTTGGATACCTCTTAAATGCCTCACTCCAAAGAAAAAAGAGAACAAGTGAAATAATTACAACTTGGAGAAATCCAAGTTTGCAACGGATTGTCAAAGGCTACATTGTTGCAGCAAAAATGGATGCAAAAAACTACATGCTTTTCACCATCAAACCATGGCCTGTATGACACAGTTGTGTTCAAATCCATCTTTTTGGCCAGAAGATTCACCATTGTCCTCGTCCCAATGAATGGCAGCACCGAGTCTTGATTCCCGCTATAAACTAGTACATGGATTCGTGAACTCACTAGTGATCACACCACTAGGGATGGCAATGGGGCGGGTTTGGGGCGGGTTTGCCTAAACCATCCCCATCCCCATCTTCAAATACCCAAACCCATACCCGCCCCGTACCCATGCGGGGAATGTTTTGCAAACCCATCCCCATACCCGTGGGTTTCGGGTACCCATGGGTAATACCCATCCCCGTACATCCAACATTATTATACCTAAAACTTACAAGAAAAGTTTTAATTATAACCATAAACAAACCTATTATATCACGAAGTCAACAAAACACGGTCATTTTCTAAATACGATTCAAAGAATATGATCCTAAAACATCCATTAATACATAATATTTAAATTATTATGCTCTAACTCTTGATACATTTACTAAGTAATAATTAACTAACATAATTTTGTTGACAAGGGGGAAAGTGAAAGAGTGGAAGGAGAATTGAGGAAAATGAATTAGGTTTTGATTAAGGTGGTTACTCAATTGCATTTCTACTATTTATTTTCTCGAGTTATCATCATCATCATTGAAGATTACAATTTAATCCACGTATTTTTTGATATGTGAAGAAATTCTCTTGGTGGGGCGGGTATGGGTATGTGTATGGGGCGGGGGAGGCTAAAACCATACCCGCCCCATACCCATCAAACCTTTTGCGGGTTTTACCCATACCCGCCCCATACCCGGTCAAAGCGGGGATTCCCCGCGTTGACTGGGTATGGGGCGGTCGGATACCCGCGGCCATGGGTTTGATTGCCATCCCTACACCATGCTAATCGTCGGCTTCTTCAGATTATTTCGGTCATAATTCATCACACTGCAAGCGAAAAGTTGAAACGTTAAAAGCATATCTAAAGAGCTGGTCTAGTTTATAATTTGGGACTGGAAAATATTTATTCTAGGCTATGGGGCTTACTAGCTGCAGCTTCTCCAGGTGGGGATGCCTACAAGTTTGTCTCAGCTTCAACAAAGTAGTAGAAGAGCTTCCTCTGCTGGGTTTCATCAACAACAACATACCCTGAATACTGCTGGAATCTAATCCTCAAATGAAGCCTCAACCGTTCTGCAAATCACAATGCAAGTTGCAGAAATAATAAACATAACAATCCATAAACGAGAGCCCATTTTGGCGGTGAAGAAGCTCTTAAATTTTCAGAGGAGCTAGCTGTATGGGTTGGTTACAGAAGTGATGAAAAAATGGGATTTGCAGCTTTTGTTACTTATAGATGGATCCAGGGTTTAGAGGCCTTAAACGAACACGAAAAAACTGCTGCATCATCACTACATTTTAACCTTTTATTCCACGAGAGAATCGTGATTATGATTAGTACTAACAGTTACTTTGAACTCCAGAATAAAACTCTGCAGTACCCAATACAGACAAATGTTACTTCTCAACCAATGCTGTCAAAGCCGAGCCGGAGTATGACCCGGTAACGTGAACGGCTCGGTCATTAGTGGTCCAGCCGGCATTAGACCGTTTAAAAACCGTTTGAGAATCGGTACCAAAAAAAGATCAAATCAGCAAATTTACAATGGAAAATCTAACACTACTATTCTGAAACTTCTAGAAGACAGATCTAATCGATTAATCCCCCAACAGTCCATTTCGTAAGCAAACTAGCAACCCCTATCAGCAAATCTCAAAATCTACGCTAATCACGTCAAGATCAGACAAACGACTACTAGATCCACCACTAATCAAATACCCAGTAAATCAATCGCCACCGACAGCCCAATAATAGCCACACTGGAGAAATGCTAACATAGAAATCCCCTGAACCAACGGAAAGAGTGAAGAAGAAGAAGGGAGATGAATTACCCCGCTGTTGGATGGCGCGCTGCTTGCGGCGACGGGACAGAAGCGCTGGGGCGATGGTTGACGGCGGCAGGGTGGCGCCGCTCTCCCTTTGTCGTCTGTTCTACTTCTAGGTCGAAGATGAAGAAATAAAATGAAAGTTAGGGTTTTGTTTGGTCGCCACATTCCACGATTGACCTTTTTTTTTTTAGGGTAAACCAAACGGCCGAACCGCGCGATCGGCTTGAGCGGCTCGAGCGGTTAACCGCTTCGGCCGCTCGCCGGCCGCTGTATAAAACCGTGGCGGTTAAATAGCAGATCCGAGCCGGTTTTACGGCCGGGTGGCGGCTTTGGCGGTCCGGTCGGCCGGCTCGGTTCGGCTTTGACAGCACTATCTCAACACACAAAAACAAGGGGGATTTACTTTACCTTTGTTATCTGCAAAAAGCCTGCGCCGTGGATGGGTTCATGGTCGCCATTTGGGCACTGTACTGCTTTCCTGAAGACGTCAAGTGCCTCACTTTATCTGGGTTAAGTCAAATTGGGACATGCGAACAAGACAAATGGAAGAAACACAGTTGCTTGGCTTGTTCTGACCTTTTGATTTTTCTCCAGCATGCACAAAGGTGAAAAAGCCCAGATTCCTCGAACGATCCTTTTGTGTAGAACAAGTCATATTCCTCCGACGATCTTGTTTTTGCCTATCTCCCAGCTTCTCTCATCAGAGTTCAACTCGATAAGTATCTAAAGTTGGGCACTGGACAGGGCCAAGAAAGCTGAGCGGAAACAGGTAGAAGATTAATTAAACTCAAGGGGTTGGGCCAAGAAAGCTTGGGCCCCGTCCAAAAAGTCTTACACAGGAATATAAAAGACTGAACTTGAATTGGTGGGGTGCGCCAGGCCCATGCAGTAGTGCAACGCAAGGGCGACATGCGAGAAGGCCCCTGAAGCAAGCTCCAGTAGTGGGCCACTCTCCCTATAAAAATTAATTTAATATCGTGTGGGCCATTGGCCCACGTATCAGATATTAAACTGATAAGAACAGATACTACACTTGATCTTAGCCAAAAGGCCGAGAAAGGTATGAGTTGAACTACGAACAGAGCTTCCTTCTTATTCCAAGCCCTACTGCTATCTTTCTGGTTTTAGACGATGTGGTAGAGAAGCGCAATGAACCATCTCAGAAAAGCTCAAACACGGACTTCTGCTAGTCTTTCCATGTGAAGGCCTCTTTAATTTTATCTTGCTTTAGCTCATAAGTCATAACCCCATCCGTGTTGCCAAACGATTCACCAGTTTCCTCGTCCCGACGAATGGAATAACTGAATCTTGATCCCCACTGTACACTAGTACTCGAATCCCCGACCCCACCAACGAGCCTAAGATCCCAACTGTCGAGATCTCCAAATTGTTGCTGTCATATTTCATGATCCTGCAAATGGAGTTTTGGATTACTAATAGATCATGTGTCCACATTCTTCCAAGTGTGTCACAACAAGAAGTTCGGGTTTACGTGCTGCAGGTAGAGGTGGCAATTGGATCGGATTCGTGGATTCGTGGATTGGATTGGTAGATCCATGGATCAAATGGATTGGATCCAATGGATTGATGGATTCATGGATTGGATCCAATGGATTGGTGGATTGATCCATGAATCCAAATGACATCCAAGACTTGGACCAAAATGTAAAATTTGAAAAGTTTTGGTACTAAAATGTCATAGTGAAAAATTTTAGGTACCAAAATGTAATTTTCCAATGATATTTTTCGTATAAAAATATAAATTTTAGGTACCAAAATGTAAAATTTAAAAAATATAGGTACCAAATTGTAATTTGCCATTTGGATCCATGGATTGATCCATGAATCCACCAATCCAATTGGATTTGGATCAAATGGATTGGATTTAAATGGATTGGATTAGGTGGATAATTTGGTGGATGGATTGGATTGGATTCATGGATTTGGATCCTAATTGCCACCTCTAGCTGCAGGAGTTCCAGCTGGGGATCCCCTCAAACTCAGCATGCATAGCTTGTTGGACATCTTTCCTGTTCAAATAAGTGTACTTCTCAGCTCGTACACAAAGGTCTATCGACTCTCCAGCTTCCTACAAAAAGAATCAAATGAGTGCGGCTGATATTGTAAAGTTCAGTGCAGTTGATCATTCAAAAAGACTTGCCAGCTTTTTGAGAGCGCCCTGGCTGGATTTGAGGGATGTGATAGGATGGAAACTGGCAGCCAAAGACTGTTTCTTGATGTCGAATTGTGAAATACAAACATCAGAAGTGACATCATACGCATCAAAGTTCCTTTTTGGAATTTCTCCAGCAAGTTGAGTTGCAACCATTTTACACTGCTCTGAGAGAGAGTGTGACATGGCCTCTCTCCTGAGCTGGGAAATGTTGCAGACTGTGTTGATGAGTTGATAAGTTTGGTCCGATATCAAGCCGTGAGACCAGTAGTACTCTCCTTCCCCGTTGAAATCTGTGTCAAACTCCAACAATGGATTTCCTATCTGCAAAATAGAATAGAAGACAAGAGTTGACGAAACACTCCCAGTGTCTGGATTGGCTGAACTTCTAGGACCATGTCATCAAGCTATTTGTCGGATAAACTATTAAACTTACAGCTATGCCTTTCAAGTTGAGATTTGATCCCGACTCAACAATCAGTTGTGCTAGTTGTGGGACATAGTGTCCTGTTAAAGAGAAGTATGAATTTGAGATCAGCATTTCCGGTGCAAGTTTTCATATTTCATGCCAGAACTCTCAACTATGGAATCTAGAAATCACATACCAGCATAGCTTTCTCCGGTGATGAGCAAATCTCTGTTGTTGTATTCTGGAAACTTGACTAGCCATCGTTGTAGGAATGCCAAGTTGTCTTTAGCTGATGAGGAGGACAACCCAGTTGGACTCTGTTAATCTTACAATTGATTTCAGTCTGAGAGTACCAAAGACGAATCGAGTTTCGGATTAATTAACCTGTGATGGTGTCATTTACTAATTCGTAGAAAGATGTATTGACAGAATAGGAGAATCCAACTCCTGCTGGGGACTCCAAGTATAGCATGTTTGCTTCTGCAGTGGAAAACAGTAACACACATGAATCGTCGGCTTCCAGGCAAAACTTGAAACAGTAGTCTAAAGAGAGTTGAGCAGAATGTGGAGTGCACCTTTGTTCCAACTGTAGTCATTGTTGACCAGAAGCCCTGCTGCATTTGGCTTGAAAGGGCCATGTTCAGAGAAAGCTCCAAGTCCAATAGAAGAGCATCCAGGTCCTGATGGCACACAATGCAGTAAAAAGATGCAATAGACCAATAGATCAATAACACTTAAAACCGGCCAAATATCAGCAAATGATGGACAGGTCAGAACTTACCTCCATTGAGCCAGAGAACAAGAGGCTTGGAAGTGGAGTTTGTTGCAGCTTCCACGAAGTAGTAGAAAAGTTTCCTCTGCTGGGTTTCATGAACAAGAACATACCCTGCATACTGCTGGAAGCTAACTTCTGGCTGCCCTGGCAACTTCGCAATCTTATCAGCTACATATGCTGACTCACCTCCTGTGAAAATTGTGATGAAAGATGCAGCACACATGAGCATAAAAATCCATGAATGAGAAGAAGCCATATGGTGGGTGGTGAAGAAGCCCCAAAATTTTCAGAAGAATTGAATGGTTGGTTGCTTTGTTAAGAGATGATTCCCAAGTTCTGCTGTTCATAGATTCTATTTATATTGATGAATGATGATGATCCAGAGATATCATTAAGCAATTGGTTCTATAATCAGTTATGAATCCAAGGTAAAAATACTACAAATGAGAACTATGAGATGGGATTCATGTTTAGAAGACAGTATATGCAGTCTTCACCACTATGAGACAGAACTGTTCAAATCAAGGAGTGAAATAGAGCATAATGAATATGCTAGCATTGTGACCACACTCAAGTATTTGCAGGCAATGAATGAAATTCCCTCAAGAAAAAGAAGCAACTGACAATAAACAACAATAAAGCCCTCTTTCGCATTTTCCCCTTTTCTTTTCCTTGGATGGATATATGGCTGATCGATGTCAACAATGGTAAAAATAGTTTTTGTTACAGCAGGAGTTGTTGCCTAATGAAGAGGACAAATGGGTAGGACACAAGCTTGTTTCTTGCCGGAAAAGTATCAAGCCGGCAGCTTCGTTGGATGGTATAGTTTCGTCACATTTCCTATAAGCTGCATGCGCACTTATCCCGATCAAGTCGCCAGTGGTGTCCCCAAGAAATGCTGCAAATAATGCGAGTGATCTCATGTGAGAGGATGATGGAGCTTTGTGAAAGGCTCCTCTGATGGTTGCAAATCACAAATTGTTGTTCCCTCCATAAACTTGGGCCCAACCACCCACCTGTTTGTCATAACCAAACCATGCTTTGTATGACACAGTTGTTTTCAACCCCATTTCTGTTACCAACTGATTAACTAGAATCCTTGTCCCAATGAATGGGAAAACCGAATCTTGATCCCCGCTATAGACCAGCACTCGAATCCCGGTCCCACCAAGGAACCCACCACCCCAATCGTTGGAATCTCTAGACTGCTGAGATCATAATTCACCACATTGCAAAAGAGATGAGGGGCAAGAGATTCTGTCGAGATTGGTTCGTGGTCTCGTCTCAGGTCCAGTGTTGAGACTAAGAGTTTTAATCTTTAAGACTTGACGGTAGCAGCTAGTAGTGCAGATAACGTAGGGGTAAGTATACGTGTTCTTAGTCTCTTACTGGCTGCAGATTCTCAAAGTACTATTGACGCCAACAAGCTTGGCATATGCATAGCTTCTTGGGCATCTTTCATGTTCAAATACCCGTAAGTCCTTCCTTGTACACAAAGGTATGTCGACTCTCCACCAGCTTCATGCATGCATACCTCCCAATCATCATGACACTGTTGGACTAAGCTGTGGCTGCAGCTGCTGAATTTGGTTTTGCAGCGTACAAATTGCTGCGTCGCTATCGGGGATAAACCCGCTTGTCTCTTGCTCCAAGACCCTCCCTATCCAGGCGAAGTAAAATCGAATTTCAGAATCGTAATATTTTTAAATACAATGTAAAAATTAACTCAAAACGCTGGATATTATTAATAAGACAGATCCTGAATAATACTCAAACACGAGATCACTGAATATTTTCAATTGGCCATGTGACTTTAAATCATTGTAACTATACAAATATAGGCATAGTAGTTGCCTCAAGAAAATTGAAATTACAGTTTTGCACAAATTCATAGTGCAAGAGATGAATCATCTTGACTAAATAGTGTCATGTATTCCAAGTCTGCGAAAGATCAAGCTGTCAATGGTCTCCCAGCAACAAATGCTGCAAATAACGCGAGTGACCTCTTGGGAGAGGAGAATGGAGCCATGTGGGAGGCTCCTCTGATGGTTGCAAATGACAACTTATTGTTCTGCCCATAGACTTGGGTCCATCCACCCACCTGTTTGTCAAAATCAAACCATGCCTTGTATGGCACGGTTGTATTTAACCCCATCCCTGTTGCCAAACGATTCACCAGAATCCTCGTGCCAACGAATGGCAGAACCGAATCTTGATCCCCGCTGTAGACTAGTACTCGAATCCCCGATCCGACCAAAGAACCCACCACCCCAATTGTTGGGATCTCCAGATTTCTGTGGTCATAATTCACCACACTACAAAACCGAATGAGAGATCGGAGAGCCTGTCAAGACTCGTACAAGGGCAGCAAGAAATGCAGGTAACATAGTAATGTGCATATGTTTGTGTTCTTAGTTCTTACTCGCTGCAGAAACCCCAGCTGGTGACGCCAACAAGCTTGGCATGCATAGCTTCTTGGACATCTTTCCTGTTCAAGTATGTATATGTCTCATCTTGTACACAAAGGTCTATCGACTCCCCTCCAGCTTCCTGCATGCATAGCCCTACTATACTGATCATATTCCAGATGGGTTTCGATGTGATCAACAAAAAGAAAGGCTTACCTGCTTTCTGGGAGCACTTTGTTTGGATTTGAGGGACGAAATGGGATGAAAGATAGAAGCTAATGAGAGCTGTTTTTGGGAACCCAACTGTGATTCACCATCTGACAAACAGACATCAGAAGTGACATCATAGCTATCGAAGTTTTTATTGGGCGATTCTGATCTTATCTGAGTTGCGACGAGTTCACACGGCTTGGACAAGTTGCTCGGCCGCAACAAGCTTGCTCTCGTGATCTGGGAGAAGTTGCACACTGTATTCAAAAGGTGATAAGTCTGGTCCGATATCAAGCTGTGAGACCAGTAGTAACTTCCTTTCCCGTTGAAATCTGTGTCGAACTCCAACAATGGGTTTCCTATCTGCAACATCAGCACCAACATAAGAACAAAACTAATGAAACGTCGTTCAAGTGTTGCCATTTGTTGATATGTGGCAGTTAAGCTTACAGCTATGCCTTTCAAGCTGAGATTTGATCCCGACTCCACAATTAGCTTGGCTAGCTGTGGGACGTAGTGTCCTGTTGGAGGGAAAAAGAAGCAGGAACAAAATTCTAAGATAAGGCATTTTCTTAACAATTATGGACTCAGAGAATTTACGTACCAGCATAGCTTTCTCCAGCGATGAAAAGATCTCTGGTGTTGTATTCAGGAAACTTGACTAGCCATTTTTGAATGAAGGCCAAGTTGTCTTTTGCTGATAAATTAATAAGAAGACACATAAACCCAGTTGAACTTTTTCTGATAATGCGAGAATTGATTTCCGTTTGAGATATAAAGATTAGTCAACATTTCAGACTGACCTGTTATGGAGTCATTAACCATTTTGTAGAAAGAGGTGTTGGCAGAATACGAGAAGCCAACTCCTGCTGGGGATTCCAAATACAGCATGTTTGCTTCTGCCGCGCCAAAAAAGTTCAAACACATGAAGTTTTGGTAACCGGTCGAAAGATGAAGAACAGTAAAAGAGACACGAGCAGGATGTGAAGCGAACCTTTGTTCCAACTGTATTCATTGTTGACCAGAGCCCCTGCTGTATTTGGCTGAAAAGGGCCATGTTCGGAGAAAGCTCCAGCTCCAACTGAAGAGCACCCAGGTCCTGATAGGAGAGAAACCCATTTCAGAATTGATGTAGCTATATACCAAGATAATGATAAACTAATCTTCAGTAGATACCTCCATTGAGCCACAAAACAAGAGGCTTGGAACTGGAGTTGGTCGCAGCTTCAACAAAGTAGTAGAAAAGTTCCCTCTGCTGGGTTTCATCAACAGTGACATAGCCTGCATACTGCTGGAAGCTAACCTCTGGCTGCTCTGGCAGCTTCACAATCCTATCAGCTTCATATGCTGACTCAGCTGTTCTGTAAATTGTGGTGAGAGTTGCAGTAACTATGAACATAGGAAGCCATGAATGAGAACCCATTATGGTGGTGAAGAGACTTCTAACTTTCAGAAATTTGTATGGATACTTGAAGGTGAAACAATGTAGTCTGTGCCATCTTCTATTTATAGATGGGATTCATGTTTGAAGAACAATATTGGATTCTTCTTCTCACTACGAGACATGGCTGTACGAATCAACGAAAATAGCCAAATCATATGTTAGCATTGTGACCTAATGTCCATAAGTTGACCTCTATTAAGCATTATGACTGATTCCAGACAACAAAACATTCTTTGAAAACCGATTAAGCTTCCATCTATATTAGAACAGGACAAATGGAAGGATACAACAGCATTTCCTCAGCCTAATGTTCTACCAAGCCGGCTTCCTTGGTTGCCTCACTGTCCAAATAAAACTGGGTTGTCAACAACTAATGTTTTTACCATTCATTTCCAAGTCTAGCAACCACTAAAACGTTGTTTTATGTGACACCCAGCATAACTCTAAAATAACCTGCTCTGCAGTACAGACATCACAATTAGAATCAATATGCAGGTGGAACTGCAAGTTCAATAAGTTACACAAAGCCTTAAACTCCTAATATGCAACAACAGCCCAGAAACACATTAAACACCGTCATTCCGAATTATTTACTACCTGCAGGATCACAGACTACTTCATTGTCAGCTCAAGCTTTCGACAGACTTAATGGCCTCCACTCTAGAAACGATCCCTTTGAAACCTTAGGCGACCCCCCCTCGGATGCCAGCATATCTCACCATAAGCATCTGTCCATCCACAAACTTTCCAAAGAAAAAGCAATTTATAGGGTTAAAATCTAAAGCAGCTCAACCTTAAAACAAGAATATGTAAACATCATCAGGCACCAACCTGTTTATCAGTGTCAAACCATCCTTGATAAGGCACACATCTCCCCCACCATCAATCAATGCAACCAAAAATAAATTCGTTGGAAAGTCATGAGAAGCTAAATTAACACAACCCAACTGAAATAACTTACTTCCCAACTTGACGAAACTGCGAGTGGACGAATTGAAGAGAAAAGCTTCGATCTTTCAGACTTGGAACTTCACCTTACACTGGAGACATTGAAAAACAAGTATCAGAAGAAACATCCTGTTAGTCAAGGGTGTTTGGAATCTCTGCTGACTGCCAATCATCCACTTCTCTACAAGCCGTGGAAAATGGAGAGCCGTAGTAGATCTCTCCCAGCCATTGGGCGCCACTGCAGAAAGTTTGCAAGATTCCGTGGGTTTTGGTCTGAGTCTGACAATGTCATCAGTCCATGAGACCAAAGGAAGCATAATCAATTGCAGCATTGGACCGGGCCTTGGACGATGAGTGAAAGCAGGCCGAAGACTAACTAAACAGATGGGCCTCAACCCAGAATGTCTGGGTCCGTTCAAATGCGTAATGAATTAGCGTAGGGCCTTTAGGCACAAAACGGTAGAAATCCAGCTCTTTGAGGTCGGCCCAACTCAAAGCAAAGTAAGCACACGAAGCTCGGCCCAGCAGAGAATGCTAAATATTCCAAGCGTATATATAAATACCCCAAATTCATCTCCATTTTAGGGTTAGCAGCCGGAGATAATTGAGAAGAAAGGGTTGCCGCAGCCGCCATCGTCGCCAGAGTTCAGAAGATTGGAAGGAAGCAATGGGTAAGAAATTCTCCCATCGTATTCGCCGCTGTGATCTTTCTCGTTCGAAAGCCATGGAGCATTCCTGATCTTTGCTAATTCGGTTCATGCTGCTTGGTAAAAATGAAACAGCCAGAATCAAGGTACACGAGCTGAGGCAGAAGTCGAAGGCGGAGCTTTTGAACCAGTTGAAGGATCTCAAGGCGGAGCTCGCCCTTCTCCGCGTTGCTAAGGTCACCGGTGGCGCTCCTAACAAGCTCTCCAAGATGTAATCTCCTTCCCTCTCTTCCTGACCTTTGAGCTTTTTCTTGCCCTGTGCTTAGAACGTTGTTCATGCCATGATTTTCGTTTCTGAACTGTTGATTTATTGCTTGAGATGATAGTCGATTCAGATGCGCCATTTTGGTTTCAGTTTTACAATGTATAGGTAGCTGATGTTGCAACTTTCTGTGAGGCTGATGGTGTTTGTTTGTTCTGCTTGATTTTTTTCGTGCAGCAAGGTGGTGCGCTTGTCGATTGCCCAAGTGTTGACTGTGATTTCTCAGACTCAGAAATCTGTTCTTCGTGAAGCCTACAAGAACAAGAAGTTCTTGCCTCTTGATCTTCGTCCCAAGAAGACCAGAGCCATCAGGAGGAGGCTTACCAAGCACCAGGTACTTCTTTTAAGTCCACATTTCGACCATTGTGATTATGCAGTTTTTGTTGCAAGTGACTTGTCTCTCTTGTTGAACCATGGGGTTGGCTAGTATTATCACCTGCAGTTTACTGTGTAAATTTGGAATATTGGTTGATTATTGGTAATTGTATTAGAATGGATCCTGTTGTGTTAAAACCATGTCCGGTAAGCTAGTTGGTTATGGCAATTTTATCTTACGAAGATGTCTAATTTTTATTTACTGTCTACATTACAAAGTCGATAAGTAAATGCTCCGGCAAGCTAGTTGGTTATGGCTCTTATATCTCATGTTGATTCCTGATTTTTAATTACCGTCTACATTACAAAGTCGACAAGTAAATGGTAGTTTGCAAGTGTGTTTGTGTACTCTCTTACTTGTCCCTGTAAATTGAACTTCATTTCCATCTTGTGTTGTCTTCTCTAGTAGATTTGATAGCTTCTCTTTGATTTTTGGTTGGCGAGTGAAGTTATTTGAGTCCTTGTAGTGAAACCATGTATTAGTTCGGTTCAGACTTCAGACTTCCTGTCTCAATATTAGTGTCTTCCTTCCCTTATCTGGAATCCTGTTCATTGCTTATACTGGACCAAAGTAAAAGTAGCTGCTGACCCTCCACCTTCCTGTTTTACTTAATATCTACAATTTGGTTTTCCATATATTGGTCTTGCCCTGAATAAATTTATATTCGTTGTTTGCAGCAATCATTGAAGACCGAGAGGGAGAAGAAGAGAGAAATGTACTTCCCCAAGAGAAAGTATGCAATCAAGGTGTAGAATTAGCCATGAAACTCCCATATGCCATTTCCCTATCTCTAGAGAGTTATGAAGGAATCTCATTTTCGTACGAAGAACTATTTTGACGTTTGTAATCTCATATTTCTGCAAGTCAACGTGTGAACTGAGCATCAACTCAAAGTTTTGGTAATGATATGGATTGCTACTTTGCTATATGTGAATCAGTTGGGTTCTTGGCTATGCTACATTTGTTATCATTATTCTGGATTGTTGTACATGCAGAACTGGGTAAACATCTATATGTAAGCTGCAGCAAATCTCATAAATATTTGTATTGGAAAGGAAAAGCAGGTCAGATTAAGTGTAGAAGCACTTGTCGACCCTTCCAATACTACACTAAGAAAGTGCTGATACATAATAGAACCCAGAACCGGAAACATTGAATTGCAGTACTTAGAAACACATGAACTCTAAATATAAGGTAACATTCACTCCTTTGAAAGACAGTTAATTAACTTAAGCACCTTCTATGTAGTCTTCAAACCTTGTTGAATGCAGAAGTAAGATCGACATCGGTGCGACCCTCGTCGTTAATCCAGCTAAATTTTTTCAGGAAAGGGCTAACATTGATTGTAGGAAGAGGGTACGAATCAATGCAGTCTTCCCAAACATTCCCATCCGCCAAATCCCTAGTCACCTCCCACACACAAGTGTTGCACTTGAAACCTGCACCAAACCCAATCATGAAAATCCTGTCACCTCTCTTCAGCCTCTTCTTGGCCTCCATGTACCCCAACACATACCAAAGCCCACCAGCCGAGGTATTCCCGAATCGGTGCAATGCCATTCGAGATGGCTCGAGATCGTAGTCATCCAGCCCCAAGCTCTTCCCAACACCATCAATCACTGCCCTCCCACCAGGGTGTATGCAGAAGTGCTCAACCCCTGCCTTCATGTTAAGCCCTTCTCCTGCCGCTTCAGCCGATGGAGCACCCCCGCCGACTTTCGCCTTCTTTCGACCGTAACTGTGGATGACATAAAGCAGAAGATCCTTCACTGGGAGTATCTTTGGGACCAGAACCCTGAGGTTCAATGTGAAGGCTACAGCAGCAGCTTTAGTGAGCCCCTTTCTGAGGAGGAAGCCTGCATGTCCAACCTTATCTTCCATTTGAATGCAGCAGTTGTAAGCATCATCCTCTCCTCCCAAATGGGTTCTCACCAATTGGTTCAGCTTCATCACTGCTTTCCCCTTCAAGCTCCCATTGTTGGTCAAAAGCATCGAACACCCACCGGACCGGAACAGGCAGTTGGCCAGAATCATGGACCTCTCCTTCCCACAGTACCAGTTTGGTCCAATCGACTCCGAGCTCACCACAATGGCCAATACCTCGTCGTGGATCTTGAACAGCTGCTGCACCAGATCCACTGCGATAATGCTCGCGCTGCACCCCATCCCAGAAATGTTGAACGTCTTGATGTCTTCCCTCATCTTGTACCTGTTGACAACCCTAGAAGTCAGAGAAGGTGCAGGGGAAAACAGAGAGATGTTGACCACCAGGATGTCGATATCCCTTGGGGAGATTCCGGTCTTGGCGAAGAGAGCGTCCAATGTGTCGAACGCGATGTCATCGATCTCCGAGAGGGAGTCGGAGAGGGTTGGAGTGGCCTCCCTGCCTTCCAGGATGTTTCTTGGGCCGTAAGTTTCCTCTCCAATGCCAGAGTTGACAATGGCCTGCAGGAGGAACCTGTATTCTTGCAGCCCAAGGTTCTTGTTCCTCATCAGGAGCTCGGCGCAGGTCTTGGTGTCGAGCTTCCTGTCCTCGGTGCCCTTGTAGCACTCGTAGTGGAGCATGTAGCAGCATGAATGTGATCTGTTTCGGAGCGCGATTTTGCAGAGGTTGAAAGTGATGCAGGAGAAGAGGAAGAGGAGGAGAAGGAAGATCATCATGGATGTGAATTTCTTTCTTTGAATGAAAGAAACTTAAGCACCTCAGTCACCACATCTACTTAAATATGAGGATTGTCATCATTCAGAAAGGGGAGCTTGGGATACTGTAAAACCAGTAGGCTAGTACTGGTAGAGAGCTCTTCTCTTCGTCCACTCTGCTGCTGCAGCTGGGTTTCATTTATGACAATGGGGTCCTTTTACTCCATTTAGTCTCTCTGTGTTGCAAGACGACATGAATGAAAGCTGCTTTTGCCAAATAGCTGACGTTGCGCTTTCACTTTACCACTGTAGGAAATCAAAGGCTCCAGATGCAATAAATTGGGTGGTTGTATCCTATGGTCAGATTACCGTTTGATGAATCAAGCAACAATGCGAAAATTCCTAAATTTTACAATGCGACGATTATGCTTTCAGTTTTTTTTTGTCAATGACATCTGAGTTATTGTTAGTTGGTGGATTAGTGTTTTTTGAAGAAAGTATGATCATCTAAGGACTAAGAGCCAATTTTATTTGTGTTTATTTCTCAACCATGTTTACTTACTCCTTTAAGGAGAGAGAACCATAAAAAAGGGACATGTTGTCAACATCTCAATTCTCATAAGCATAATCTCACAAACTTAATAATACTTAATAGGTATTGGTCCAAGGCTAAATGTGAGGTCTTTCAGTTATTAACTTTTTTATTTTAGTCTTATCTTCGAATATGAGTTGCTATTTAATGAGCGTATTTTTTCCCTATAATTGTATCAAACTTTAGAGGTAGTCTTCTAAGATGCAACATATGAGAATCTTTTAACTGTATCCTTTTCTTTTACCATTTTGTTTTTGTTGTGCTGAAACCAATCTCTTTGTTCGACGACCAGACCCATTGCACCATGCGAGCTCGGCCCCGTCTTGATCCGGAACTTGGAGCACATTCACTCTAACTACAATCAAGATTGTCACAATCTCGCTGGTTCTCAATTAGGAAGACCACGGAGGAAACTCTCACTCCCTATAGGAGAGCATGGAAGTGGCCTTGAAACCAACGCAACCAGATGCAATTTGTTTTTTTTTTTTGTAAATTCTCTAATTAATAGTTGTCGGCCACCAAATATGTAGATCATCATCCTCGGATTCGTATACTCACTGGCCAACGAGTGCAAATGAATATGAATATCCTTCCACGACATCTTTGTAATTTTTCTTGTTGCTTGTGGAGTTATATCTTAGAATTACATTTTGCTAATCCTTTCATACAACTCATTTACACTGCTAACTTTCACTCGTAGCGGAGCGCAAGTTATATTTTAGAATCACATTTTGCTAATCCTTTCATACAACTCATTTAGAGCGCTATCTTTCACTCATTGCGGAGCGCAAACGAGCAGGCAATATCTACTTCTTATAATCGTCACATTCTTCCTATTCTTTTGATGAATAATCACGTTCTTACAAAAGCGAACAATTAAGTTAGGATATATAACCTTATCAGTCATAAATTCAAACTATTTCATCGTATCCCTCACACTTAACCATAAGAAAAATTGTTCTCATTCAAGTTTTTGTTATAATCATAATTAAAAGAGATTAGAAAAATGAATAATATGATCCTATGCTATTTTAATATATTGGGTTTTGATAAAGTTGAGGCCTCATATCATCATCATGTTGTACATGTAACAATAAGCTAGAAATTATGTACTGCTTATCTCCATCAATTGGTAATGGCCCATCCATTCAAGCATGTGCGTGCTTTAGTTGCAACTACTTACAAGTCAAGTCAACAAAAATCCTGTAATTTTATACAATCCACCAATTAAAATACATAGTCTAATCCATGTGGAATCCCCTTTCCACATTTGTTGCTGATTTCAAACATTCCTGCGGGGTCATGGGTCATGGTCTCAGATGACTTAGCCAATTGCATAGTGCTGCTCTTTGCCTATCTGGGGAAAGCCATATCTGGGAATCATCGACTTCTTCCTCATCTATTGGGATTCTATTTTTTAATCTCATGATTATTCTTTTAAGCAAAAGTTTCAGAAGTTGTTTGATTGCCAAAAATAACATAAATCGAGAGCTTCGGCTCTTCGTTGAGTAGTTTCGCATCACGTAAATCGATGTCTTATGCTTTTCCAGTGGCGGATACATGGACTTTTAGGGGTGTCCCGAATTTTGAAAAATAGTTATCCAACCCCCGGTCGTAGTTTCGTATGGATAAAAAAATTATAATTGATAAATCGGGATACACTTAAATTCTGAAAAATAATGATCCTACTCTCGATAGTAGTTTGTGTATGATTGAAAAATATAAGTGGTAGTTTGTGTTATTCAAATCTAAGACACTACTATTATTAAACATATTCTCTAGGTTAGAAGTTAGAACTCATTTCTTGTTCTATTTTAAACACTGTGAAATAGTAAACAGAGTCTTTCAAACTATGTTGCAAAACCTAAAAATTAAACTAATTACGGACTATTGTTAATTTGATTGATTTTATGATTTCACGACAAAAGTTAAAAGAGTCTTTCAACTTTGAGTTACATAAAGAACAAAGTTAGAAATCGAAGATGCGATCAATTCGTGAATTATTGTCAAGTAGGATATATAGATTTGTTGAGCAGTACGAGTCTATTTTATATTTGTTGGGGATGCACACATGGCCCACGTAGGTTGGGCCTGCATGGCCCAATAGAAGAGGCTGGTAGGCTACAGAACCGAGCCTGGCCCAGCGGGCCCAATGGTATGGAGAAACTTGGCCCATGGACCAAAGGAGGCCTGCCCAGACATGTGGGGCCACGGCTCTGACATGGGGCGCGTGCGACAGAAAACCGCAGGGGATCCAAAGGTACGGGTTGAGGACCAGCTGACATCATGCGCCTCGATCTTCTGAGCAAGGGGTCAGATGGTCGAGGCGCATAGTACTTGGCCGTACGGCACATTAAATGCAGGCCTGGCGAAGGGCGGGAGAGAAGGATGTTGGTCGGCCGAGCTCCGAGTATAAATAGTTGGGTTGGTGAACCTCATTTACTCAGGTTAGAAATTCTCTCTAGAATTACTATTAACTTATCTCTCTAGAAACGGTAGCTGACTTGGGTGTTGGAGTGCTAACGAGCCCGACCTCGGGCTCAAGTTAGTCGTGTTGTTTGTAGTAAAGCGCCCACAATCTTGCGCCCACAAGTAAAGCGCCCAGAATTTCGCGCCCAAACATAAGGCACAGCGAGTTCGCGGTTAAAAGAAAATCATTGAGGATCGTGATAAAGGAAAAGTAAAGCGTCCAGAACTTCGCGCCCTTAAGTCAAAGCGCCCATAATTCCTGTGCCCTCAGGCGTTGTATCGGCAAAATTAGATGCTTCGTAGGGGAAAACCCAACTCAAGGCAAAGTGAAGCGCCCAAAACAAATATGCAATTAAAAGACAGGAACTCAAATTACCACCAAGAAATGTTAAAAAAGAACATGTCCTGACACAGTTCAAGCATATCCAGAAACAGCAAAATGATGAAAAACCGTCGGAAAAATTGCAACGAAAGACACAAACGCCTTGCTTTCACCCTTCGACTTCGACCTCCCCCCATGAGCGCTTTGTAGGAATCACTTCACTCTTCGACTTCGACTTTGACCTCCTCCCCGCTGTCTCCGCTGCCGCCCGCGCCTTCGTCTCCTGAATCGGAGGCGTCGCTCCCACTGAGGTCAACCCTCTCGCCTGCCTCCTCCTGGGCCTCAGCGCCTTGTGCGTCCGACACCTCTTCCTCCCCGTCTTGCAGATCTTGCGCTTCCTCCTTGAGCACTCTGCGCCTTCCCACCCTCAGCCTCCGGTGACGCTCGCTCCATCTCAGTGATGATGTGGCACATCAGGTCCTGCACGTCGAAGGTCCAATCCGGGTGGTCGGCAAGCAGCTTTTGTTGAGCTATCTCCACCGTACTGATGACGACGTCCGCTTGCAAATTCTTCCCCGCGGTGGTGTTCTTGTAGTCAGCTAGGGTGCGCCTGGCCTTCTTCAGGTCCCGGTGGTAGCGCCTGCTCGTCTTCCTTAGCTTCTTGCCGGCGGCTTCCAGTTCGAGCACGGATTCACGGAGGGAATTCCTTTTCGCATTTAAGGCGTCGCGCTCCCGAGTTAAGGCCACCTCCCTCTCACGGAGCGCCTTTTCCGCCTCCGCATGCTTGGCCTGCTCCTCCTGACGCACTTTCGTGCGCTCCGCCTCCAGCCGCTCCTCCAATTGCACTGCATAGTCGGAGGCCTTCTTGCGCGCCTCCTCGCACTCCGAATTCAGCTCTACCCGCTGCTTATCCGCAACATCTAGTTCGGACTGGAGGCGCGTAGCGGCAATGGTGGCCTCCGTGCCCTGGCGCTTGATCTTTTCCACCTCGCGGGTGGTAGCCTCACATAGGAGCATCATCTGCATGGCAAATCGGGCGAGGCGCATTAGAGAGAGTTAGAGAAAATAAAAGCGCGAATTTACGAAATCGAAACAAGGCGCACTAGAGAGAGTTAGAGAACATAAGAGCGCAAGTTTACAAAATCGGAACAAGGAGTGGGAAGCGTGGACGGGAACGTACTTGCGCAGTAAGGTTGGTCATTCTGCGCCATGGTTTGTCGGACACCAAGCCTTCAGGATGCTCCACCACGTCGTACTGAGAACGCGCCCATTGAATAGAGGCGCCCAGATCCTTGGCAGGCTTCACCGGTACGTCCACGGCGACCTTCGTCAGAGGGCGCCTGGGGGGTTGGAGATACGGAGGAATCACTTCGCCAGTGTGGGGCCCGATGGTGGGCACCACAAAGCTTGGGGGCAGCCCCGACGTATCGGCCTGAGGCGCCTTCGCCCGTTTGGACGGGGGAGCTCGGTTGTCCCCGGACCTCTTGCGAGACGCATGCGGCGGATACGGACGAGAACCCCCCTCCCCCGTCCCATGGGGCGTGGACTGGGAAGCAGGAGTCACTGGAGATCTCGAGCGCTCCAGCACGGTTTGGCTTGGCCGAGGACTACCTTGACCAGCGCCTGAACTCCCCTGCG